CCCTAAACCTAAAGCCCCAAACCCTCAACCCGAGCGAGCAACCCAAAGGCTTCAAAGCAAACAGCCACAGAGTAGGTGGCAAGTTGCACACCACGTCCACAAAGACCTGCCAACGTGGCTTTGGTCGGAGCTTCTTTTCTGGGTTCTATGAGTTATGAGGCTATATTCACTGAACAACTCAGACTTCGAATCCACCTAAACCCTAAACCTTCCTTTTTTTAACCCGCAGCTCTCTCCAATCCCAAACCCGAAACCTTGAACCCTAGACCCTAAAGCCTCATCAGATCCTCTTCAGCCCATGGAATCTCCCAGGAAACACCTACGAAACGACCTGTACCCTTTGCGAGCAAAGCCAGAAACTCCTGTACCCGAACCTAAACCACCAAAACCCAAACTAGCTACCGCCGAATATGGGCGGTAGATTCTAGAGCCGCCCATAAACCTGCACAAAACCAATTTACGCCATCATAGCTACCCAACNNTAGTTCAATTATAATACCCCACCCCCCCCCCCCCCCCCCCCACCCCCGAAAGCAAGCAACATAACAGCCCCAATACCCATAAGAGGCCATGATGCTACCTGCTTTCCCAAAAGGTCCCAAGTACTATTATTGAGAACAGTCCCCCAAATCATGATAGTAATTCCTAATACTGCGACTGAAACCCTACATTCTAATTCATGGGTACTTCGGACCCTTTGGGTTTTGGGGGTGCACGCACAACCCGATCTTCATCGCGGGCCTTACTCCTTCGCCGCCAAAAAAGGAGAGTTGGGCAGTAGCCAAGTGTCCTTGATTTCAGGCATTTCAGGCTTTAGGGCTTGGATTCTTTTCGGGCTCCAGAACCTTTAAAATCCAAAATATCAAGCATTCCGGTTTGGGGCAGACCCCTGCGCCATTTAACGAGGCAGGGTATGTTCCTCAGGAGCCTGAAAGCAAAGGAGCCAAGTGTCCCGAAGAGAGCACACCAGGGATAACGAACACCTGCTGCCAGCTGCAGCGGCAGCACCTGGTGAAGAGTTTAGGGCTGATCTGGACCCTAAAAACCCTGCCTGTGGTCGCTAGACTGTCACTACTAACGGAACAAAAGGTCGGAGGCCACTTTGGCAAAAGCCCTGCCTCTAGCAGGCACAGAAGGCAAGCCACAACCGCACAGATCATTCCGATCACGGCTGCCGCATAGCCGTTGTTCACAAACCAGAGGGTGGCGACCTTCATCCAAGCGGACGTCTGCCAGCTGTGGGACCAGAACTCGTCGATTTTCTCCGCTGCGAAACTGACCTCGTGCAAGCCCTCTGCATTTCCTCGAAAGGCCCTGCCGAAGCGACGAAGCATCGTGTGCGCCCTCGCTGCGCGAATGACATTGGGGCGAATGGCCTGCATAGTTTGCAATGTCTTCACGATCGCACCTGCCAGGCTCGAACCTTGGTGCATGACTTTGTCGGGTTTGCATTCTGGCGCCGATCCATGCCTTGCAAAGCCAAGATATCAGCTATCAAATCCTGCTTGCTTTGAGTATACCCTGAAGGCTCGGTCCTCAGGTTTGAAATATATACCTCGTGGTTTCGCAAGCTCCAGCCGCTTGCTCTTTGTTTGCACGCGCCCTCTGAAGATACACCGGCATTCAGTTGAATAGATAGATAGATAGATAGATGATAGATAGGTAGATAGATAGATAGATAGGTAGGTAGGCAGGTAGAAAGGCAGACATACAGCTAGAGAGGAAGAGAGAAAGAGAGAGGGGAGCTAGATAGATAGATTGATAGAGATAGACAGATAGATAGATAGATCGATAGATAGATAGATAGATACACTGGTAGATAGAAAATTAGATAGATAGACAGATAGATTCATAGAAGATAAAGGTATATATATATATATGAAGAACGAACGACCGACAGATAGATACATAGATCAAAAAACAAATAGAGACACACATGCAGACATAAATACATACATACATACATACATACATACATACCTACATACATACAGAACTAACATACCGTACCTACATACATACGTACATACATACATTTTTTGCACGCTCACTCGACGGAACCTCGCCAACATACCTACATACAGACGTACACGTACAGAACAGTGTTGAGCGACGAATCTCTCGCCTAGCTTACGTAACATCGGTAAAAGGTCATGCTACAGTAGCTAGTACCCATGATGGCAACCCCATGGCCGCCCACGGCGATGATGCTCGTGCTGATCACGAGGACGAAACATGCTCGTGTCAAGGCCATTGTCCAATGTCACGATTATACTCCTGTCTCACGGCAGAAGACGACGATATAGATAGCGACAGATACTGCTGCTCCTCCACGCGCTCTACACTCCATTGCTCCATGTGATGTGCGCTTCAGACACCACCGCCGCCGAAACTGTACTGCACATCAACAACGGACCTGGCGAGTGTTACTGCTACTGCTACTGCTACTCCTCCCAATTCTACACTACCAGACTACGACCACTACCATTCTTCTGATACTACCACTGCCACCACCACAACTACTCCTTATTCTATTGCTACGACTACGTCGACGACTAGGACTCCTACTGCTGCTACTACTACTACTACTACTACTACTACTACTTCTGTTACTACTGCTACGACCGCTACTACTGCTACCACTACTACCGCTACTACCACTTCCACTAGCACTACCACTACCACTGCTGCTGCTGCTACCACTACTACTGCTACTACCACCACTACTACTACCACTACTACGACTACTATCCCACTACTACTACCACTACCACTACTACTACTACTACTACTACTACTAGTACTACTACTACTACTACTACTACTACTACTACTACTAGTCCTAGTACTAGTACTAGTACTAGTACTACTACTACTACT